CGCAGCAAAAGTGTTCAGAGTCTGCCCAGCTGCTGACTTGGAGTGCTCAGCCCCAACCAGGATCTTCGCTGGACTTTGAAGGTTTTGCCAGCCCTTCTCCCCACTGCTCTGGCAAAGGCAAAAATGGAAGCAGGGCTCAAGCCTGATGCGGAGCTGCTTAGACAAGGTCTCCTGCCCGTCTGTGAATCCCCCTCTTCCTTTGGTGGGTACAGGTCTCAGGTCAGCGAAGCCTCTGCTCTTGTGGAGGTCCCTTCACACACAGGCACACACGCACACGCGCACGCACACCCCCAGCCTGTGTTATTCCCTGGTCCCTCCCTTGGTGCGACTGTCCCTGGCTGGCTCTCATCTAGCCTGTCTCACTTCCCTGTCCTCTGCGTCCTTGGACCTTGTTTCCAGTGACACCGCATTTCCTCCTGTCTTTCTTAAGTGGCATTTCTCAGGCCCACCCACACACATCTGTCTGCACCCTCCCCACTCCTGCTGTTGGCCCCGCCTTCTCTGCCCACTCTCAGACGTGACATGTTACTAAGGAGTGTGATGCAGGACAGTCACCTGTTTCCCACAGCTCTGAGAGCCAGCAGTGGAGGTCAGGGTGTTGGGGACCTCACTCCCCCTTCTGGCCTCAGAGCCTCGAAGTCTTCTGGATTGGGTCTTGCCTTCATGTGGCCTTCTCTCCCTCTTCTGTCTCTTGGACACCTGCCCTGAACACCAGGCCCACCCTAAATCCGGGTAACCACGTTGAAAGATCCCTTATTACAGGTACAAACACCCTGTCTCAATGGGGACACACTGAGGGGTCCCAGGGTTAGGGCATGGGTTCATCATCTTTCGCAGGCCCTCTATTCAGAGTGTTACCCTCTGCCGTCCTAAGAGTGTGCAAGGCCCCACTGTGCCCCTTGGCCATTTGGCAGCCTCCACTTGGGCCCACAAGAATTGTGGCTGCAGCAGTCACTGTCCTGATGCTAGGAGCCCCCAAATAAGGAGGTGTCCCAAGGACATATAAGTGACATAATAAATATGGACCTCCAAACTGGGCCAGTATTCATTAATAATAGAGAAAACTGGGCATGGTGGCTCACGTCTGGAACCCCAGCACCCAGAGGCTGAGGCAGGAGAGAGCCCCAGTCTCATTGTGAGTTCCAAGACCGCCTGCTGGGCCACAGAGTGAAACCCTGTCTCAAAAGAAAAAAAGAAGACAAAAACCTTGAAGAAAAGCCAGAACAGATTTTGGCTCTGGTGGGAAAGGGGCCAAGACTAATCCTATGAGCTCTTTCCCATATTGGGAAACTGAGGCCCGGGAGAAGGGAATTTAAGGGATGTGGCCAGGATCCCGCAGCTCAGGAGGGAGGAGCTCCATAGGGAGGAGAGGGCCTGACCTCTTTCCAGAGACCAGAGGCACCGCGTTTCTGTCCCTTATCAGGAGAGCCCCAGGCCACACCTGTGATCTCTGAGTACAAGGAACAGATTCATTCACCTGGCCCTTGTCCCTAGAGGTGGCCCTGGGAGGGGCTCTTCCCCAGAGAAGTAAAATAGGTGAAAATGACCCATTCCCAGAATTCACCGGGTGGAAACCCAAGATTTGCTTCAAAGACTATCAGTTCCTAGAATAGGGAGAAGTTGGTGTCTTTAAATGTGGGAGTGGTTGA